AGAAAGCCAAAGTCTCACTATCCTTACTTTTAAGGAACATTCTGGTTGTATTTCTTTTAAGACTAATTTGTCCATTCTTTTGGCAGTCCATGGAATATTCGATATTCTTCACCAACACAATAGTTCTAACACATCAATTATTCCGTCTTCCTTTGTCATTATCCAACTTTCGCATGCGTATTAAGTGATTTAAAAGACGATGGCTTGGGTCACCCATGGTGTATAGGTTTCAGCAGAACTTTCAGACTAAGACAGACTAGGGAGAAAGTCTTGAAAATCCACCTCTGAAAATTAGCCAATGAAAACCATATGGATCACTACAAGAAATTTTACCTTGGTAAAAAGTAGAAACTATTATTTGTATGAACCGGTATCTGAAAATTCAAAAGTAGTTTACACGTGCTTTAGACTAATATAACCAACATCTCTCTAAAGATTATCAAATACAGAAATGTAGAAACATAAATCCTAAAGTTTTTAATGACTCCTTTTTGCATACACTGGCTAAAAGTTTATTTCTCTTACATAAACTGTTGTCTGTCATTATTTCACAGGCTTTCTCTCTCTTTAAATAATAACCAAATGACAACCAAGATCCTCAACCAACACACATTCTGAGATATATCTCAAACTTGTTAAAATCCCATATTTTACAACAACAAAAAGAAGAAGGAGAAGAGTAGCTGCTGCAGCTACTTATGTACAACCAAACACCTCTTGGGATTTGGTTTCTTGGTTTGGAGGTTTACGGTCATGGTTTCATGGGACAGCCCAGTTAACTGGCCTAATATCATTTGTAGTGCTTCTGTTCTACCTCCTAGTTCATTGAGCAGTGCCTGGGGTCTTAAAAGCTTGCAAGTGGCCATTCAAGGTACAACAATTGATCTCTATTCACCTAGAGCAACAGAGGAAAGAGGTGGAGGAAATAGAATGTGTGTCTAATTGCCTCTACAAGCAACTGCCTCCTTTACCATAAGACCAGAAGAGCTGGATGATGCCCAGCTACTATTACTAAACAGTTTTATCAGAGATTCTATAGAAGAATCTTGATCAAAAGTGGGAAAATGCAAAACAGAGTTTCAAATTCTCATGGAATCCAGACTTTCTGGAGCCACTGACGCTGAATAAACCCCTGAAAATATTGCCCTGAGATAGTCTCTAAACCTTAAACCAAAAATATCCCCTGAAGTCTTCTGTCAACCAAACAACAGTTTAGCTTAATCAGTAAAGAATGTCTGCCTTGAGGACTGAGCTCTTTTAAGAACTATCTGTACGAGATCAAATTGACAAAGCAATTCGAAGGGTTAGATAAGAAACTTTTGCGGGGGCAGTAAGTTTATGTTAATGGGGGAGGAACAACTCAGAAAAGGAGGGTAAGAATGGTTGCACAACTCAAATGATATAATCAATGTTACTGAATTGTACATGTAGAAATTGTTGAATTGGTGATATGTTTTGCTGTGTATTATTTTCAACAAAAATTTTAAAAATTCTACATTTAAAGGAAACCAATTTAATTATTAAATCCAAGGCTCACACTGCAAATATGAATGTAAAGTTGGGTTACTTTTGCTTTTGCACAGTGATAGCCTGGCCAAACAAAAACATTGAATTGAGAAGTGACTTGCCTTTTGTCCAGGTTCTTCCAGGATTAGGCAAGGCAGGACACAGGCCCAACCCTCTCCAGCTATGAGCACCATTTTGCTGGGATCCTATGGGAGATCCAGATCTGTCCCTCTGGGCTGAGGGAAAACTCCTGAGAAACAGAGAACAAGTAGTCATGTGTCCTTATCAGTCCATTCACTGTGACTCACAAAACTGGATGGAGAAAAGAAGGAACACGTTCACCCAAACACAGATGAAGGAAGCAGAAGCTTCTGTAAAGCAAATCTCCAGATTATAGGTAGCCAATCTGTCCCCTGCATTATTTAATCTCTATGTTTGTATTTATGCAAATTGAGTTCCTGGATTACTAGGTATACCTGGATTCAACTGAGAGTGCTACAAACTCATAATGAACATCATTTCAACTTATTTTTCAGATTCCACAAAATATAGACTTTGTGATTGGATGTGGGCACAGTTGGAGACGCCCTGAAGAACACTTGTCTGCTCACAGGTCAGCATCTGCCTGTTCTTTGGCCTTGTTCTCCACTGGGAGCCCTTGACAACGGTGGTGTTGAGAGCATGGGCCCTGGCCCAAATTCTGTCCCTTCTGAATCGTGTGTGATCTTGAGCAAGTTTCTTAACCTGGCTGTGTTTCCATTCCTCCTCTGTAAGATGAGGGTGGGAACAGTAGAATCCACCTTGTGTGATTGAGAAGATTGGATTCATCAATATGTGTAAAGCACTTAGAGTTGTCCCTGGCATGTAGTAGGCACTCAATAAATACTGAATATACCATGGACTGCCAGAAGAACGAACAAATCTGTCTTGGAAGAAGTAAGCCAGAATGCCCCTTAGAAGCAAAGGTGACGAGACTTCATCTCACTTTGGACATGTTATCAGGAGGGACCAGTCCCTGGAAAAGGACATCATGCTTGGTAGAGGGTCAGTGAAAAAAGAGAGACCCTCCATGAGATGGACTGACACAGTGGCTGCAACAATGGGCTCAAGCGTAACGACGATTGTGAGGATGGTGTAGGACTAGGCAGTGTTTCATTCTGTTGTACATGGGGTAGCTATGAGTCAGAGCTGACTTGACGGCACCTAACAACAACATCATCATTTTCATTATTATAAATATCATCATCATTATTAAAATAACCAAGTCTTCTATCCACTGGTTGGGGAATTAAGGTCACTTACAATATAGCAATGTAATTGCCGGTTTAGGAAAAAAACTATGAAAGGGAACTTAAATTCTGTGTCCATCCCCCAATGGTCAGAACACAGCAGGCAGCAGCTTTTAAATTACTTCACAGCTGCACAATAGCCTTACCTGGAGCTCTAGCCTCGCTGTTACACCATCTCACACGCTACCTCATAACTCTCACTCTAAGGGTAGAAATTACAGAATCATGTATTTGTGGGCCTGTGGGAATATAACTCTGAAGGATTACTATGCAAAGACCCCGCACACTGCCACCAGTCTAATTGTGATTCTTCCCTGTCACCTCTTGAGCCCAAAGTACATAATCATCCAGTAATTGAACGGAGAGGGCTAAATGGCTGAAACTCCTAAAGGACGCAGCTATTTACCAATGAAAAAGTCAGAAAATTTTAGCAAGCCTCCCCAGTGCTTGATTGCATTAGAGTAAAAGACTGGGTAAATATGGCTGATCATGGGCTAACATCATGAATGGAGACAGAATAATCTTCCCTGTTGGAGGCAACGTTGGAGAAATCATTAAAATCACAACAATCGCTGAGCTGCTTCTGAACAGAGCAGTGTAAGTTCTAGCCTTTCTTGGGATATAATTTTGTGAAAATTTAAGCAAAAGGTAGAAAAAGAAATTTTCCTGCTCACATCATTAACTACTTCTGGGGAAAAAAGAAGGGAGAGGCAAAGGGCCTCACCTTCCCCATCCCCCCAGTAAAGGTGAAAGCTGGGCTTTCAGAGGTAGGACAAGGTCGTTATGGACCCTTCAGCACACTCTAGATGCAATCTAGAGTAAGGGCAGAGGACACAGACTGGTCCCAGACACAGAATGAGAAGCAATCCACATGCTTAAAAACAATGTTCATTTTAAAAAGTGCAGAAATCAGGGTTTTGTCTTTGAAGTAACCCAGAACTAGTTCCAAAGCCCCAGGGGTCTTTGCTATGGAAGCAAGTTCTGCCCCATCATTAAGTCTCCAGAAGCACAAAAAGAATAATTGTAAGTATTTTTAAAGAGTGCTCAAGAATCCTCCCAATGAAGCATTTCAATGTAGGCCGGTACAAAACTGCCATCACCCCATGGCTAAACTCAGCAACCCTGGCACCCAGTGGAGTCCAACATTTTCATGATCATTTTTAAAAACTCAAGGCTTATCATGAGAATGAAGCATGTCAGCACCCAAACTACTCAATGACAACTCTGAATAGAATGTTTTTTGGTCGACTGCATGTGCAGTACCTCTTGTTCCTGAAATCACATCGCACAGGCCACAGAATGACAACATGACAATGGATGTAAATCAAGAACTGTGTGTGGGTTTATTTTACATTTGAGAAAACAGTGGATTTAATTGCGTGAACCAAAATGTACTGTACAATATTAATGACAGAACATCAAAATGTATAATTAATAGTGCATTGCTCGCTTTGCTTTTTTATTTATTTATTTCTGTCTGATAGTTCTTTTTAAGTACATGCACCTAGAAAGATGCAGGTGCCAGTAAAATTTCTCTATTTAAATCAAGCCGCAGGAACTAAATTTTATTCAAAAATTGTGGGTTTTACATTATATACACAGAAATCGAATATAAAATGACAATATAAAAAGTTAAAAGAGAAAGCATACAGCCAGAAGGTACAAAGAAAGTTGAATAGATTAAAATGGTACGATATGTAACATAGAGTCGTTTTTTAAGCTGATGCTGGCAATTTACAAGGAAAGAACTCCAACGTTTGCCCCCTTTTTCTTCATTTACCAGTGCAGCACGCTATAGAAAGGTCAGCTTGTACCAAAGCTTACATTTGTAAATAACTATAAACCGCAGTATTTTACAGGAAAAAAGAAATAGCATTTGTACACATTTTTAAATAATAGCTTGCATACTTTTTTTTTTTTTTTTTTTAGGTTTTTTTTTTGCCAAAAGTGGCATTTTTCAGCATCCAGAGGGTTTCGGCATAGTGGCAACTGGGGTATTTGTTGTTGTTTGCTGTTTGCTGTTTTAAACGTGTGAAGTTGTGGCTCCTAACCCCATGAGTCCTAGATAGCTTTCTATCTTCCAACAGCATGCTTCCTCACAAACCAGTCCTGCATATAAAAGCTCATTCTTTAATTATTAAATAAGTTTTGTGTCTGACACAGCTTCTGATCGAATGAGATGCCTTTAAACTTTTTTTTTCTTTGAGTGAAAGGCACAGAAATGCGATTACAGTCCTCACAGGGTTAAATTTGACACTACTCGGTTCTATGACCTTTATTGTCATGGCAACTTTGTAATTTTAGGATGTCTTTTTATCATTGTTATTTGTGTCTCTCTTTACTGCTAAATAAATGTCTCTGAATAGTGGGTCCCACTATTTCCTACAAAAGATAGCTTAACATCAAGAATAGATGTTGAAAATAAAGGTCAGACTTTGACTCATGGAAAAAGAAAAATAACATGCACGGATCAGACAGAGCGCGTATAAATAGAACTACAAAATGTGTGTAAGAAAAACCAAGGTCCAGACAGGCAGCTCAGCAACCAAGGAAGAGACTGATTTCAGAGGCTCAGGCCAGGCCTAGTGCAGTACGACGACAATGTTAGTGCAAAGTTCCGCGGTCCATGCCGAGCTGGGCGCTATTGTTTCTCCAGCTCTGTGACGTAGATCAGGTGGTCCTCGGGGGACTTGCCGTGGGTCTTACTGAGGTGCAGTTTGACTGCGTGCTTGCTCGCAAAGGTCCGGTTGCAGAGCTTGCACTGGAATGTGGAGCCCAGGTCCTCGTCCGCAGCCCCCAGCGGGCCCAGGGGCTTGCTGGCGAGGACTTTGGAGACATTCTGCTGCTCCTGGATCTGGCTGAGCGGCAGCTTGGACAGGTCCTTCAGGCTGAAGCCCAGGTGCGTCTCCAGGTGACTGATGTACGTGGAAGCAGTCCTGAACTGAGAGGCACAATCGTTGCAAAAGAACACAGGATGCCCTGTGTCGAGGTTCTTGAGGAACTTGGTCCCCCCTGTCCTGCGCAGCTGGTACTTCACGTTGGCCAGCCAGTGGCTGATGGTGGTCATAGACAGGCCAGTGAACTTGGAGATGTGCACCCGCTCCTGGGGGCCCAGGTCAGACATGATGTACTTGCCTTCGGGCGTCTCCCGCAGGCTGGAGGCAAACTGGGCCTGCAGGATGAGCAGGTGCTGGGGATTCCAGTTCGACTGCCGCCCCTTCCGCTTGTGCACCGGCGACAGCTCGTCCAGGGCCTCCTCGAAGCTGCTGCCGTCGGCATCCGACTTCTCAGACACAGTGGAGGGCGTGGACGACTTGGGCGTCAGGCGGCCTGTGAGGTTCTTCACCATGTCGGAGATATCCATCAGCGCGCTCTCCCGTAGGGGCGACGAGACCGCATCGGCGGTGCCGGACACCAGGGGCTTGCTCTTGGACTTGGTCAGATCAATGGGCTGGTCGCTGCTCTCGTAGTAGTAGCGGTCGATGGTGTCAGTCTGCTTCCCAGGGACACCGGGGTGTGTGGGCCTGTCCAGCACGCTGTTGCTGATCTTGTACAGCATGGTCAGCGGGTCCAGAGAGGGGCTGGCAGGCTTGGACACCTTGCCCAGGTGGGCATTCATGATGGACTGCAGAGCGCTCAATGGGTTGATGAAGGGTGGCTCAGGCGAGTGGTCTGTGATGATGCCCAGGGCACTGCAGCCATTGGTGACTTTAGCTTTCAGGGGCTCTGTGCCATTGGGGGTGTGTGCGTCGCCTGGGCCCTCCCTTTTGGCCTTCCCTGCCTCGGCATCTGGGCTCTTCTTGGGTGGCTGCTTGCTGCTGACCTCCTCAGCTTTGGGGAAATCTTTGTTCTCTTTTGCCACCGGGGACACGGACTTGGCCGGGGAGCCCTTCTCCTTCTCAGCAGTTGGCTTCTCCTCCTTCTTGACACTAATCTTGCCGGTGACTTTCTCCACCAGCTCCTCCATAGCAGACACGTTGCTCCTGTGAGGCGGGGACGTCAGGCTGCCCGGCGAGTGCAGGAGGGCGCTGTGCTCGGACGACAGGGACTTCACGCCACTGGCATAGGATGGCTGCATCTGTACACTCTGCACAGCCGGTGGCAGGGGTTTCACAGAGCCCGGGAGCTGGTAGGCCGCATGGATGCTGGGGTAGCCGCCCCAGGAGGGCGCGCCATTCTGGGCCTTGCTGATGGCCGTGGTGACCGTATTCTCCAGCGACTTGAGGATGTCGACGCCCCCCTTAGGGCTGTCGTCCAGGTCCTCCTCCCGTAGGTACTGGTACAGCGTGGTTGGCTCAAACTTCTCAGCACTGTCCTCACTCTCCTCCTTGATCTTCTTGTCTACCTCGCTGGCCACGGTGGGCACCTTTTCCTTCTCTGGCTCTTTCTTTTCTTCTGACGTGGTAGACCCTGCCGGCGAGTCGGGCTGCTTTTTGATGTTGGCAGCGGGCAGCCGGGTGTGTGTGGTGGGTGGCAGCGGGATGGACTGGATTTTCTCCTCCACCACGGGGTCCAGCACCAGCTGCTTGCCTTTCTTGGAGGCGGATGTGGTCACCTTCAGGAAGTGGCCGGTGACCATCATGTGGGCCGTGAGCTGCTGCAGGGTGTCGTGGGAGCTGCCACATTCCATGCACTTGAGGATCTGCGCCTTGCGGGCCTCGAACTGCCACGTGTAGCTAGCACCGTTCTGGTAGCCGTAGCGGTTGTTGGGTGTCACGTAGGGGTTTGCCGACTTCTGGTCCTTCCCAGACTCACTGAGCACAACATCTGTGGCAACCCCCGTGGGCTCCGGCGAGCAGGGTGAGGCCAAGTCCTGGAGTGCACGCTTCTTCGTGGAAGGGACCAGTTTGGTGATGGCGGGCACTGGCTCCTTCAGAGGCACTTTCTGGTAATGCTTTGTTTTGATCATGTGGACGCTGAGGTCCTGCAAGGACTCGAAGGAGTGGCCACAGTACATGCACTTGAGCACCTTCTGGGCATCCTCCTTGCCCTCCATCTCCATCAGGGAGCGCTTCCTGGGCTTGGACCAGCGCTTGGTCTTCTCAGCGTCCTTGTCCCTGTTGTCGTCACGGTAGTGCCCCGTCTCGTTCATGTGCACCGTTAGCTCCACCAGCGTGTCGTATGCAGCACTGCAGTCCTTGCACCGGAACTTGCTGGCGCCAGTGAACACGGACCCATAGAGTTTGTTGTTCTGCCGGTAGAGCTGCACGGTGCTGAAGAGGCTGGGCTCGGGCAGCAGGCCATAGGAGGACGTCTGCTGCAGGGTCTTCGCCAGGGCCGCCTGGTGCCAGTCGTACCCGGAGCTGCTGCTGTTACTGGTACCACCGCCACCGTGGCTGGCGCTGGTGCTGGTGCTGATGCTGGGCGTGTGCGCGTTGGTGCTGGCGGTACTGGTGGTAGTGGGTGGGGTAGGGGTGGGCGTGGCGCTCTCCTTCTGGCTGGCATCACTGTTGCTGGTGGTCGAGCTGGGCTTCTTCAGGTCCAAAGCTAAGCTGGACCAGCAGGACTCAGAGAACAAGTTGGCATAGACGGCTTTGATTTGTGCCAAGCTGTCCTGGGGGTAGGAAACAGTGTCCGTGCACGGGGCGTCCTCCTTCTCCTCGCGGGAGGAAGACGGCTTGAAATGGGCTAGCTGGTCGCTGCTCTCGCTGAAAGGCGACCCATAGCCTGCTTCCTGGTTAGTGGCCGTGCTGACTGGAGAGTTCTGGTAGCTCTGGGCCTCTTTGATCTCTGCTTCCTCATTACACAAATATTCGCTCTCCTGAATGTCCAAAGAGAGCCCATCCTCCTCCACATTGTCTTCATCTATCTCGGCCGCCTTCAGCTCTTCCTCAGGAACATAAGCTGGAAGAAAAAAAATGAAACGCAGTTAGAGGAGGCAAATCACCCCCAAGGACGCAGCCACCCAGCAGTTAGTGGTCTTTAAAAAGATGTTCCTCACCCCAGCTCCCAAGCTACAAGGCTAACCAACTTTACCCAGATGTCCACCTTGTAACTCTACGGCAGAGAGACACTGTCCCCTCCTTAGTGAGTAAATTCTCATTGAAGAAGCATAAACCAAAAGGTCAGCACACATCCCCTTTTTAAAGATGCCCCTTTGACCACCAGAGCTGAGTAGGGAAGGGAGAGGCCAGGCACCTGCCCACCAAGGATCCCTCCCTCTCCCGAGAGCACAGGGGCCCCTCATGCATTCTACAGTTAGCATTCAGAAGAAGCTAGCTGTCAACTTTTAGGACAAGATATTTCACAGACAATACTGTATGATTTCCATAAATAAAAACACCCCTCAACGGCAAGCAATGAAAAATTCTGTTCCTCACTGAAAAGGAGAACAGAACAGAGCACCGCCAGCCTAATGCCGGACTGAGGGAGAGCCACCTTGGGGGACAGCCACACAGGCATCCACAGGCCCCAAGTACATGCCGCACCGGCCCACGAGGTGCCTGAAGACCCCAGACAAAGAGGCTTCGTGGGTCTGCAGCAGCATTTCCTGAGTGTGCTACGGGGTAGCAACAGCTGCTGCAGGAATAACAGGGTGGGAGGTCATAGAAATTATGAGATTAAGCCTGCCTTTTTACCGCAGGACTTTTTAGACCCTTGAATACGTAGTATGCCTTGCAAATCCCCAAGGGAGACTACCTCCTAAACTCACTGAACCATGGCACTTTCATTTATTTATTTTTTTGAGGGAGCAACTTGCTGAACTAGTGCTCCCCCACAACTTAGAGTTAAGAAGGTTTCCAGAAAGCCCCTATTGAGATGCGCCTAGACTACCTGGGAGGGTATTTCATTAACTCTAATCAGCAATTATCACGTTATCACAGCCAGATCCTAAGGGGACTTGGTGGCAAAGGGCATTTTGGGGAAAGCTGAGAGGAGAGGCAGAAAACATCTCAGAAGCCCAAAGGGAGCCCCACCCTCCGCCCCCAGGCAGGTGGAAGGATGCACTGTGCTTGCTCCTGTGAGTGAAGGTCGGAGATTCAGGAGGCACACACTCACGAGCATGTGCACAACCACGTGTGCACATACATGCGCACGCACACACGTACACACACACATACACACGTGCACGTGGAGAGAGACAACTGCTGGGATGTGGCACCTCCTTCAGTCCGTCCCCTTCAGAACAGCATAGACAGTATGGTGGCTATGACAGGCTCGCCACAACCCAGCGATGATGTGGGACCACCTGAGCACAAAATGTCCTGTCTTCCTCACAGCAGGAGGCGGGACAGCTGTCCAGTAGCCCACCCAGGAATTCCAGCTCCGTCAACACTGCACTGCTATCTCTCGAACAGTGATCAACAGGGCAAGACCATGGGCTTTAACTACGGCATCTGAGACCTCTGGATAATCCTGTAGCCCTCCTGGAAAACACAGCCCTTGAAAAATTAAAAAAGGACCGCCAAGTTCAATCACATAATCATTAAAGATTTAGGGTGGTCCAGGAGCTCTGAGGGCTCACAGCCTGAACCCCTGGACCAGGGCCTCCACTTCAGGAACCACTGGTTGGACTCATCGCCTCTAACAAGCCCGGCTGAGTGCACTAACGTCAGCATAACTCCTCTGTGGATTCTGCTAATGACAAGGCCAAAGCTGGGCAGGACATGAGCTCTTTAAAGGTGGATGGCCCAGGTGCCCTGGACTGTGAGGTGCCATCTAGCTCACACTATCCGAGGCGTACCCCAGCAGAGCTCCACTGAGGCAGTACGCATGTTAGGATGAATGACAGGAAACAGCCTGCTCCAATTAGCTGGTTCATTTATGGAGAAGGAGAGTCATGCCCCAGTCAGGAATTTAAAGGAAACTTGGCGTGTGATTGGTCAGCTCTGCCAGGGGAGGCCCAGGTGCATGGTCCATGATTCTGTAGGCATTTCCCGAAACAACAGGGCCTGCTGGCAGCTCCTTTAGTAGACGAGGCCTCCCATCATCTGCCCCACAGTGGACAACTGCAGATGAGCGCTGAATGAATCAATAACTTGAATCTAAGCTCTGAAAACATAAATGGGGAATTGCTCTTGTGCCTCTAAGGCCCACTGGCCACTGTCCAGTCCTGGCCGTACTGACACAGGAGGCCCTGTGGACTGGGAAGGGGCAGAGGTAGTATCTCATCCTGCCCCACGTCCCAGCCTGAGGAAGTGTCCCCCAGACCACGCCTCTCCTGAGCCTGCCCAGCTCCACCTGGTGGGAGGTACTCAGGGTGGGAAGTCCTGAGAGGGAGCTAAAATTTGTTTCATTGGCAATTCCATAACCTCAATTGGAGAAATAATGTTTGCCTCATATGGAGCCACACAGAGCAGCCTTGGCTTGCTCTGCAAGTAAGCCCCTGAGGAGTCATCTGTGCCCGAGAGCTTGACCCATTCAAACACTCATTCACATGTGGGACATCCACTGCTTTCCAGAGCTGGGGTGGGCTGAGGAGGAGGGACAGGAAGGAGCAATAAAGTCCTGCCCACAAGGAGCTTGTATTACAGTGTGGGGAGGGTGCTAATAAAGAAAGAAAATGAAGGGTGTGAAGAGGCATAAAGAAGGGTTGCCAGCTTCCTCCATTTCACCCTGTCTGTGGGCACCAGCTACCCACACAGCCTTAGGACCAGCCCCTCCGCCTCACCCTGTCTGTGGGCTCCAGGTACACAGCCAGAGGACCAGCCCCTCCGCCTCACCCTGTCTGTGGGCACCAGCTACCCACATGCCCTGAGGACCAGCCCCTCTGCCTCACCCTGTCTGTGGGCACCAGGTACCCACATGCCCTGAGGACCGGCCCCTCCATCTTACCCTGTCTTTTGCTATCAGTTAATGATGTCACAATGTCATAGTGGCATGGGATGGATCCTAAACCTAATCCCTTCTGACTGATGTCTTATAGGGAAAACAGACATGGAGACACACATAAAGGAGGAAGATTCCACGTGAGGGTCCATCTACAAGCCAAGAACTGCCAAAGAACGCCTGGAGCTACCAACAAGAAAGGACCCTCCCCTACAAGGGATTCCCTGACTTGGACTTAGCCTCTAAAACTGTGAGACAAGACATTTCTGTTCTTTAAAGCCACCCACCTAAGGTATTTTGTTATAGCAGCATGAGGTACTAAGGTACTCCTCCTTTGGAACACCCAACTCAGACACAGCCTTCCCCCTAACAACTGCCCAAGCCAGAAAAACACCTATTCTCACCAGTGCTTTCCCTACCGTCCTGCCCCCCCACCACGCCCCACGGGCCAGCCCTCTGTTCACCCTGATCGCGCTGTCCGTGTGTCATGTCAGCCCCTCTACATGGCTGGGGGTGGGAGGGTTCTGTCTGCATGGCCACCTCAGACCCCCGCCTTGTGAACTCTACTCCCCCTCAAGGGGAAGCTCCAATGTCACCTCCTTTAGAAAGTCTAATCCCGTCTCAGATTCAGTCATTCTCAGCGGAACTAAGAGATGTTTACCAGGCTATCCTCTTACTTAATCTATGAACTTTTCATTCAACTACTATATTCGAGTGTTGCCCTGTGTGGCCCCTGGGCCGAGCATTTTCATCTCACTGCCCCATCTAAGGGAGCCCTGGTGGTATAGTGGTTAAGCGCTCAGCTGCTAACCAAAAGGTCAGCAGTTCGAACCCACCAGCCACTCCATGGCAGAAGGATGTGGCTGTCTGCTTCTGTAAAGATTACAGCCTAGGAAACCCTATGGGGCAGTTCTACTCTGTCCTATAGGGTGGCCAGGAGTAGGAACGGCAATGGATGGGTTTTGGGGCTCCATTTAACCCTTGCAGTAAGGATCCCTGAAACGCCTATTCTGCAGACGAGAAAACAGTCTGTCTCAGAGAGGTAGAACAATTTCTCCAATAACGAGGTATTGAAGCAGGATTAGAATTCAGGCCACTGACCCCAGTGAATGGTTTTTCGACTTTGTGGGGACCACGTTACTGTCCTTTGCCTCATCAGCATCTAAATGCAACAGGAGACATGGAGTAAAGTGACTTTGAATGAATTAATAACCAAACATCATTCCGTATCAGGTTTTTAGAACACCTGTTACAAGCCAGCCACTGCTATAAATGAAGGAGTCTCAAAGGAAATGAGTAAAAGGAGAGAAATTTTTAAATGTTAACACCCTTTGGCCCAATCATTTTACTTCTGGAAGTAGAGCCTAGGAAAGTAACATGAAATACTGAAAATGCTTTATGCACAAAGATGGCCTTACAGTATTGTTCCACATAAAATCTGCCCCAGTCTCAATATTCAACAACATGGGGAAGTGAAGTAATTGTAACTTATTCCTAGAGTGCAAAGGGAGCCCTGGTGGCAAGTGGTTAAGTGCCTGACTGCTAACCAAAAGGCTGGCCATTAGAACCGCCCCAGACACTCCACGGGAGAAGGACCTGGCGATCTGCTCATGTAAAGATTACAGCCTAGAAAACCCTGTGGAGCAGCTCTACTCTGTCACATGGGGTCTCTATGAGTTGGAATCGACTCGACAGCACCCAACAACAACATTATTCAAACATTTAAAAGTATGTTTTTAATGACATGGAGAAAGTTGTGAAATGAAAAAACCAGGGGATAAAATTGTACAGTGAAACCTGTGAGAGCCGGAACTCGATGGGACTGCCTTGTTTTTCCAGGTCTTGCAAGTTTTTCACCTTTGACAGGGTACAGTCTTACCACTTTTCTATTGCTCATTTTAGTGGAAAATATTTGGGTTTTCCTCCTCTGACAGGATTCCATCTTACACAGGTTCCAGCTTTTCAGGTTTTACCGTCTTTACAGTATAATGGAAAAATTCTTTAAAAAGAATGTTAATAGTTTTTTTTTTTTCCCCCTAGAGAACGATACACGGTTATATATTGTTGAGGGCAGTGGCTCTTTATAAATATCTGTGTTTTCAAAATCCTCTTCAGTGTTTTCAGTTCAACAAACATGTATTAACCACTTCACACCATTTCTAGAATAAATTATCTCCAAGCAGATTTTCACTGAGCACCTATCAGACACTAGCCAGAACCCAGGGATGATGGAAGCCCAGAGAACGGCCCAGCCTGGGGGCAGGAAAAAGGTTAAAAATAAAGACGGGGAAAAGGGACAACTATAGAGACAGTAAAAAGATGAGTGGTTGCCAGAAGTTGAGAGACAGGGATGAACAGATGGAGCACAGGGCATTCTGCAGGACACTGCCATGGTAAACACATGGAATTATGTCTTTGTCAAAACCCATGAGACAGTACAACACAGAGTAAACCCTAACATAAACTATGGACTTTAGTTAATAATAAAAACCAAACCAAACCCACTGCTGTTGAGTCAATTCTGACTCATAGTGACCCTACAGAACAAAGTAGAACTGCCCCATAGGGTTTCCAAGGAGCGGCTGGTGGATTCGAACTACCATCCTTTTGGTTAGCAGCCAAGCTCTTAACCACTGCACCACCAGGGCTCCT